CCCCCCCCCCCCATCCCGCTATCTGCCCCCAGTGAGCAATCTGTTTTCCGGTAGATATTTTCGATAGGCGACGACGAGCCTGAGCGAAGGGCTGCAGCGTACGTGTGTGCTGAAATGAGCGATTTCGTGAAGGGCTCCAAAATCGTTAAGTTGGAGCCGCAGCCAGACGTCGAGTCCTTGGCAGCACAGGTCAAGTTCGTGAATGATAAGTTCATTGACTACCTCAACTGTCCACGGAACTTCGACCTGCGGCTGCAAGTAAGTGACGAGGAGGACCTGTTCTCCGAAAATGGAACGCAAGAAATCGGCAACACCCGCGCGCTCGTAAGGGAAGTGTGTCAGGTAGAAAAGGCTCCAGTGCCAGACAAATATGAGGCACTTTTCACCGTTGGGGAACTGCTCTACGCAAAGCGAGAGGCTCTAATGAAACGAACCACAACTAGCAGTCCAGAGTCATTCGGCGACGAGTGATTTTTCCATTTTTTCCGGGACCGTTTCCAACTGGCGCCAGTTACCAGCAGCCCACGGCGACTAACATAAGGCGACGGAAAGAATGTTCTGAAGTAATGAGGCAAGTGCTGACGACTGGGGAGCTCCCAACCCGGATACGCTCTAAGCACCGCCGACACTGGGTGGAAGAAGCTCACGCGGATCTCAGCGCAAGTGGGGCCGCTACATACCTCGTAAGTACATACCTCGAGACTCAGTGCACGGCTGAGAGTGGGCAGAGAGGCGGCGCCGCCTGTGAGAATAGGAGCTAGACACAACACACTATGACGTTGGGGTGCAATGGGGCAATTCCTTGGTGGAAAAATTCGGCCATGAAAACTATAGCGCGTTGCGGGGCTGGAAGGCTTGGGAGGTTGGAGACGCTGGCATGGCTGATGGATGCTAAGGGAATCCAACTCCCTATTGATGACTGTGACGTTAAGATGTTGACATTGGGTTGCCGAGAAGGAGAGGCCACTGTTCAATTTCTGGTTGCGGCACCTAAGGAAGCGATGAAGAATTTGATCAAAGCTAGCAAGACTCACAGCGATAAAGACTGTAGTGATGAAGAAGCTGACTTGAGTAAAAATCGAAGACTATTCTGGCTGGAGACATGCTCCAGAATCTTCCTGTATCGTGGAGGCCATACCAATACTGCCGGTGTTTATTTTGCGGCGCATGAACTCAGAGACTATCTACAGAGCGTGGACCCAGAAGGCAAGTTCTCTGAAGTTTCGGACCGTATTTGCTCAGATGGAGTTGGCTTATCACTGTCGGATATGTCGGAGGTATTACAGGGCATGAAGCATGAGGAGGCATTGCAAATCATAGGCTGTAGAGACTTGACCTCTAAGGAAGTGAAAGGCATTAAGAATAATGTTACGGAAGAATGGCAAGCACTCCTACAAGAATCACCCACCCGATGTTGCCTCGCTGTCTCTACCGCCTCCCTTATAGTGGCTGGTATAACTACATTCTTGTTATATCGTTGGTTGGCTCCTACCGGTAATTCAACCGGTCCATTAAGTTCGAACGCCGGAAGCAATAATACAAAACTATTGGACGTTGTTTCAAAGGTCGTCGCGAACACGACGGAACAAATTTTCGGAAGAAGTATGACCGGACAATATTACACTCCCAACATGGATGTCACCCTGGGTGATATTGCTACCGCCGTCGCTGGAAACTTATCGCACGAAGCTTTGCATAATATCAATGTGAGTGATGCTACCCATGTGGGTGATGCTACCCATGTGAGTGATGCTACCCATGTGAGTGATGCTACCCATGTGAGTGATGCTACCCATGTGAGTGATGCTACCCAAGTGAGTACCGCGGTCATAACCAAGGATACCAGCCCGAGGGGATACGAGACCAATACCACGGCCCATTATGGCACAACCGCCCATTACGATACGCCCTTGAAGAACGAGACAAGCCTATTTTCGGGGGCGAGGATAGATCCATCTGACTTGGCCCGACTCCTAACCATGTGCGAGGGAGATTGGGAGAAGTTAGACGCAAGGTTAGGTAAATATCCATGCGGTGGTGGCCCTGGACAAGTGCGATGTGCAACACCGGAAGGTACCTTCCCTGGCGCCTGTTATCATTTTGGAGCTCCATGGACCTACGACGTATTTGCTGTGAGGAATGGTATAAAGGCTCGTCGGTGGGGCACGGGAAAGTGCGTGGTGAAATGCGATCGAAAAGACATGATTCTACCCAATCTGTGGGCTCAAACAGAAAGGAATCTACCCGGGATTCCTGAGCGCCCTGGTCCGGGCTTTCTGGACTTTACTTACACTCTCTCTGATATCGAGCCGCGTGATTTTCGGGCAATGCTGGAAGCGCGTGCACCGGTTATAGAAAGCTGTTCAGGCTCATGTGCTGGTAGCTGTGAGAAAGATCGTCGTGTCCTGAACTGCTCATGTGATGTTGCACAGGTCAATTGCGATATGAGGGAGTCAAAACAGACAATAGAATCAATAGGTTATAATACTACTTTAAAAGATGTGTTTAAATTCCTATATCCTTACAACATTAAGAACGATGATTATGAGGCTAGCTACTGCGAATTTGTATGCCGTAATATGAGGCCCGATATTGCAGCCCGAGGTGGGGAAGTGCGAGTTGTAGAGACAGTGCCCGATGATAATAGTTTGCTCGGTTGGAGACTGAGTAGAAAAGAATTGAGTCTGTATCAAGCATCTTTCAAAGAGTGTTACCGTAATAAGGATTGGATTAAGTTGAATAAGATTGGTCCAGATATATGTAACGGTGGAAGTGGATTGATCAAATGTAAGCACGAAATATTTGGTGGCAAGGTCCCTGCCGATTCTCTACTCTTTGGAGATTTCGGCATAGTTCCGAAAATACCCGATAACCCTTACTCATGCCATCGTTTTGGTCCTCAACATATGGGTGTATATGCCGTACAGGATGCCATAAAACATTATTTAATGAATGTTGAAGATTGTTCAGCACACTGCGATACAACCCAACAATTCTATGATGACATGTGGAGGCTAGCCGATGACAATTTAAAATACCTACCTGGATATACCAGTTATTATTCACCAAAATTTGAATATGCCCCATACCACTTCTCACAGGCACTTGCTGACAAATATCCAACAATACGCCAAACATCAAATTGCGATCGAAACAACTGTACTGCTGCTGACGACCGACTCTGTCGTGTAGCCCGTATCGAATGTAAGACCGAGCTCGACGATATTCACAAGGTTCAATCCTTCGGATTTAAAACCACCCTCCGCGACGCTTTCAAGATGCTGGGTATCCCCGCTCATGTACCCGATAATACCAAAAGAGAATGTGTCACCGAATGCTACGGTGAATTGTGGCCGGACACTGATCTATGGCCGGACACTGATTCGAACAACAAACAACAATCTTCCCACTGATTTCTACCCGGATCAATACTCTTCACGCTAGCTTCAGACAGGGGTTGGAAAGGCATAAGTAGTCCTGTGAACTAGGTAGGGCATTGCTGTAGCTGTGTGTCGATTCTGCTAACTTCCGTCGCTACGGTCGCCATCTCCCTCCGTGTCATAAAAGCTTCGGCGGGTGAGACATAACAACTGACACACCGACTTTACCCACTGACACACCCCCTCGGCTTCTCCGTTGAAGGGTTGTATCA